AGACGCACGATGCGTATGCCACTGAGCGGCAGCGTGACGATCCGACGCTAAATACGCAGCTGAACCTCTCGCAGGAGGTGTTTTGGGGCTGGGACACCGCCTCCTCGACACCGGACACGCACCTGTGGCACGCAAGTGCTACGGCGCTGTTCGTGTACCTGCGCCACCGCACGCTGTACGTGGCCAATGTGGGACAATCAGTGGCCGTCCTCTCGCGCGGGGGCGTCCATATCTCCGTGCTGGGCACCCAGCACAGTCCTCTTGACCACGAAGAAACGCAGCGCATTCGCGCGGCCGAGGGATGGGTCTCCCCCAACGGGCGCGTCAACGACAAGCTCGAGGTGGCGCGCGCTCTTGGTGCGTATCATTTAACGCCGGTGGTCACCGCTACACCGTCCGTGGTGTGTGTGCCCCTGCAGGACATGGACGAGTTCTTGATCATTGCCAACGCGGAGCTGTGGCGCTACATGTCCTACCAAATGGCCGTGGACATTGCGCGCATGGACCGCGAGAATCCGCGCGTAGCTGCCTCCCGTTTGCGTGACACGGCGATCGCCTATGGCGCGTCCAATCACGTTAGTGTCATGGTGCTCACCGTGGGCGCCCTCTTTGATGACAACCTCAATGTGCACGTTCAATCGGCGCGCGCCGCGCAAACGGGTCTTGGCCTCACGAAAAAGACACGACGTGGGCGCATGGACATGGACAGTACGCTGGCGCGGCTCGATCGCGAAGTGCTTCCGCCGATTGGACAAGTGGCGCTGGTCTTCACCGACATTAAGAGCTCGACGCTGTTGTGGGAGACCAATCCTAGTATGCAAGCTGCGATTCGCTTGCACAACCTGCTCTTGCGTCGTCAGCTGCGCAGCATTGGCGGCTACGAGGCTAAGACAGAAGGGGACGCCTTCATGGTCTCGTTTTCCTCCGTGGCGTCTGCGTTGCTGTGGTGCTTTACCGTACAGATGCGCCTCATGAGCGTGGACTGGCCCCAAGCCATCTTGGAAACGCCCACGACCAAGGTGGTGCACGCCGAGGATGGCACACTGTTGTACCGTGGGCTGCGTGTGCGTATGGGCATCCACTGGGGCTGGCCCGTGTGCGAGGTGGATCCTGTGAACAACCGCATGGACTACTTTGGCCCGATGGTCAATCGCGCCGCTCGGATCAGCGCGGCGGCCGACGGCGGTCAGATTTTGGTGAGTCAGGACGTGGTCGAGGAGCTGGAGCGCCAGTTCCAGATGCACGGTACCGAGGTGGTGCCTGATGAAGAGAACACCGACATGCCTAGCGCGGATGACCGCGACCGTGACGTGGTGCTCTTGCGGCGCCTCGGTTTGGGCATCATTGCCTTGGGCGAGCGACGCCTCAAAGGCATCGAGTCGCCCGAACGCCTATCGCTCGTATACCCGAAGAGTCTGAGCGGGCGTTACAGCCATCTCGCTGGATCACGCACGTCCAGTGGTGCGCTGCTCATGTTTGAGCCGACGCAGGCGCTTTTGGCGCTCAATCAGGTCAAGCAGCTAGGCTACCTGTGCCTGCGCTTGGAGGCGCTAAGCAATCGCCGGTGCTTCCCGGGCATCCACCCCGCCGATGCCTTTTCGCGCTTTGTGCAGGAGGATTTGCCTGCAGCGGAGAATGGCAGCTTGGAGCGTAGTGTGATTGTCCAGCGTGGCGTGGCGCGCATGCCCGAGTTGCTCGCGGTTGAATCGCGTGAAGACGCTACAGATGCCGAGCTATTTCCCATTCTTAACCAGATCATCACGCGTATCCGCAATGCGGTGAGCGCCCTGACGGTGGACTATGTTCGGCAGTCGTTCGGCGGCCCTGACTCGCAGCGTGCGCTGCAAATGCTGCTCACGGACCTGGACGCCGGGGCCGCCTCGCCATGGTCCTCCACCGTGGCGCGTGGGGGGCCGGGGGAGGACGCAGCGCCCATCTGATTGGTTCCGTAGTTGACCCTATCACCGACGTTCATCCTGCGGGCACGTGCGTCGCGGTCCGTGCCGACAGCACACACGGCGCCGAACTCGCCCGCTTCCTTACCACCACATTTTGTCCCGTCGCCATGTCGTACATTCAGAACTTTGTCGGTGCCGCCTACCCCGTCCCCTCGATTGTCGAGAAGGCCCCCCCTTCGGGCGTGGACCTGTACTCGCGTTTCGCCCTCGCTGGTGCTCTGTGCTGCTGTATCACCCACGGTGCTATGACCCCCATTGATGTGGTCAAGACCCGTATCCAGCTGGAGCCCACTGTGTACAACAAGGGTATGATTGGCAGCTTCCGCCAGATTGTGGCGACGGAGGGTGCCGGTGCCCTGCTCACCGGTCTCGGCCCGACCGCCATGGGTTACTTCCTGCAGGGTGGTTTCAAGTTCGGTGGCTACGAGCTGTTCAAGAAGCTCATTGTCGACCAGCTTGGCATGTCCACCGCCCAGGAGAACCGCATGAGCGTGTACCTGGCCGCCTCGGCTCTCGCCGAGTTCTTCGCCGACATTGCGCTGTGCCCTCTCGAGGCCACCCGTATCCGTCTCGTGTCGCAGCCCACGTTCGCGAACGGTCTCATCGGTGGCTTTGCTCGCATTGCCCGTGAGGAGGGTATTGGCGGCTTCTACGCCGGTTTCGGTCCTATCCTGTTCAAGCAGGTGCCTTACAACATGGCCAAGTTCGCCACCATGGAGATTGTGCTCGAGCGTCTGCTCGGCCTGTACGGCAAGCAGAAGTCGCAGCTGTCGTCGACTGAGGCCACCGTGCTCAACCTCGGCTCGGGTCTGATTGCCGGTTTCGCTGCTGCCACCATCTCGCAGCCCGCTGACACCCTGCTGTCGAAGGTCAACAAGACCAAGGCCCTGCCCGGCGAGACCACCGGTGGCCGTCTGCTCAAGTTCGCCAAGGAGCTCGGCCCCGTGGGTCTCTTCACTGGTCTGACCACTCGTCTGGTCATGGTCGGTACTATGACTGCCTTCCAGTTCGGTATCTACGGTGAGATCAAGCACGCACTCGGCGCGACCAACTCGGTCGAGATTGCCAAGCCGGTGATCAAGAACTAAGTAGTTTCCTAGCCCATCCTTTTTTCTCCCAGCCTTGTGTCCTTGGCGCGTGACACGTGCATGTGGAGCTACTGCGGACCGATTGCGCCATCGCCTCGCTCGGGCGTACCGAGACTCCTCTTCCGAAAGACCATGGTGAACCCCCCGCACGGTGGTGTGCTGAAGGACCTGCTTGCTCGCGATGCCTCCAAGGCCGCTGCTCTTGAGGAGGAGGCGAACTCACTGTCGGATCTCGTTCTCAGCGAGGTGAGTTCTTTCCTCTTTGCTCACACTCTCAGCGCCAATTGTGTGATTTGGAGCTGATCATCACCGGTGGCTTCTCGCCGCTGGAGGGCTTCATGGGTCAAGCTGACTACGAAGGCTGCTTGACCAACATGCGTCTTGCTGACGGTACCCTGTTCCCCATGCCCATCACCCTCGATGTGTCGAAGGAGCAGGTCAGCTCTCTGGGCCTGCAGGCCGGCTCGCGCATCGCCCTGCGCGACCCGCGCGACGACAATGCGATCGCGATCCTGACTGTGTCGGATTTGCACGACGTCAACCGCTCGCGCGAGGCCGAGCTCGTGCTCGGTGCCGACGACAAGGCCCACCCGGCCGTGGCCTACCTTTACACCCAGGTGAAGGATGTGTACGTCGGTGGTACGGTCGAGGCCATTCGCAAGCCGCAGTACTACGACTACGTGGAGCTGCGCTTCACGCCCGCGGAGCTGCGCCACCACTTTGAGAAGGTCGCGTGGCGCAAGGTTGTCGCCTTCCAGACCCGCAACCCGATGCACCGTGCGCACCGCGAGCTCACCGTGCGTGCTGCGCGCCAGCTGCAGGCCAACATCCTAATTCACCCCGTGGTGGGTATGACCAAGCCCGGTGATGTGGACCACTACACGCGTGTGCGCGTGTACTCGAGCCTGATGCCCCGCTACCCCAAGGGTATGGCGACGCTGGCGCTCCTGCCTCTGGCCATGCGTATGGCTGGTCCGCGCGAGGCCCTGTGGCACGCGATTATCCGCAAGAACTTTGGTGTCTCGCACTTTATCGTGGGTCGTGACCACGCTGGCCCCGGTAAGAACAGCAAGGGCCAAGACTTTTACGGCCCGTACGATGCTCAGGACCTTGTGCGCAAGCACACGGATGAGCTGGGCATTGAGATGGTGCCCTTCCAGCAGATGACCTACCTGCCTGACTCGGACGAGTACCAGCCCGTGGACGAGGTGCAGCCCGGCACTCGCACGCTCGACATCAGCGGCACAGAGCTGCGCAAGCGTTTGCGCACCGGTGCCCCGATTCCCGACTGGTTCAGCTACGAGAGCGTTGTCAAGACGCTGCGCGAGAGCTACCCGCCGAAGACGAGCCAGGGCTTTACCCTGTTCCTCACGGGTCTCTACAACTCGGGCAAGGACCAGATTGCGCGTGCTCTGCAGGTGAAGCTGCACGAGCAGGGCGGTCGCAGCGTCTCGCTTCTGCTGGGTGAGACGGTGCGCTCGGAGCTGTCGTCGGAGCTTGGCTTCTCGCCCGAGGACCGTCACACCAACATCCAGCGCATTGCCTTTGTGGCCAGCGAGCTTACTCGTGCGGGTGCCGCTGTGATTGCTGCGCCGATCGCGCCCTACGAGAACTCGCGTGCGATGGCGCGCGAGACTGTGCAGAAGAACGGTGGCTCGGGCAACTTCTTCCTGGTGCACGTGGCCACGCCGCTGGAGTACTGCGAGAAGACGGACCGCCGCGGCAACTATGCCAAGGCGCGTCGCGGTGAAATCAAGGGCTTCACTGGTGTGGACGACCACTACGAGGAGCCCAAGGACGTCGACCTCAAGGTGGACCCGTCGCAGCAGAGCATTGCCGAGATTACGCACTCGATTGTGCTGCTGCTCGAGGCCAACGGGTTGATCTAAGGCCCCCCTACGTCCCATAGGCCATCATGCTATAGTTGCTCGCCTCAGCACGCTGAGGAACGATCGGCAACTTGCCAGAGTGGTCTAATGGGTGAGACTTGAACCCATATCGGCGCAATCTCATGGGCTCCGCCCGCACAGGTTCGAACCCTGTAGTTGTCGTTTTTTTCTCTACCTCGTCTAGGGCTCGGCCAAAGGCGCCTCCGTTCCTTGACCGTCCGTGAGCGCCTCCGCCTCCTCAACAAGCCCCTCGTCCGTCTCCTCCATCGTTGGCCAGTCAGACGCGCTCGTATCAACCGGTGGCTCCTCTACCATCGAGTCGTCCATCACGGCATCTTCCTCGTCGGCCTCCTCGGGCTCAGGGCCCACCGCATCGTCGCGATTCGCGTCCACATTCATGCGCTCTTCTCGCTGTTTCATGGCCACGGAGAGGGGCACGGCTGTAGGAACAATCTCTCGTAGGAAATCCAGGTATTCATTCTGTGCCACTGCTTTGGCTGGACGCGTCAGCATACATGCCCACACTCACCCATATCATCGTAGCGCACCATTTTACGCTTATCCAGTCGCGCATTCGTGCATCCCTCCTCTGCAAACTTTTTGACAAAGAGTTCCTGGCATCAGTCAGAATGTACGTACGGTGGCGGCACTGATGAGAAAGGTCGCTTCTTTGCTGCAAATGTCCACGGCACTGTCCGCCTAACGTCAATGAAACTTACACATACCTTGATAATCTTCGACACACGCGCGATCGGGAAGAGGGTCGTGCCTTTTTGCGGAGGCTGGACCGGTCGCGACACTTTCCGCGCGCCCGTAGGTGCCGGCGTGGGCACGGGCGCTTCTTCCGCTGTAGTCACATTCTCCGGCACCTCTGGCACAATTGTATCTTCCATAACGACAGTAGGCTCCCTTTCCGGCACAACTGCGGCCGCAAGGTTCGGCTCCATAGGCACCGGCGCGTCCATCGCGGTCGTTGCGCGTGACCAAACGGCGCGACGCGAAATGCCACGAGGCGCGTGCGCACTCCTCGCCGGTCCTCCACTTGTCCAACACGCCACGTCCTACCGACCTGGCCATGGAGCACGAGCCAGGCGACGACGAATCGCACCACGCCGTGCCATGGGAAGTATGTATCATCCTATAACGCAAGAATTATTACCATCATGACTCTGTGCTTTTCGCTATCGACTGCGGCGCAACTATGCATGAAAAGAGCGACGATGAGCAGGAGCCGCCACTCTTGACGGCGCTTCGCGCCGCTTTACGCCTCATGGAAATGAAATTGGTGAGTGCGCCCAAAGACCATGTGGGCATCATGCTATGGAATACGGTACGCTTTTTGCACTGATCTCAGGCGGAATCGCGCATGAAGACAGAGACGAAGAATGGATTCTGGCCGCACTCGGTCGAGTATGCCACCTTACAGCAAGTCAATGTACCGGTCACCTTCCAGCTACGTCAATGGATTCAATGTACGTTAAGCATCGCTAACACTGTGCAGCGTTAGAAACAAATCCTCAGCACCTACGCGGTGACTTGACGCCAGCCCGTGCGCAAATGCCCATGGAGCATGTATTTACGAATGGGCTTCGTCTACTCACCGCCTCGGTCAAAGCAGGCACGCGACGCGTATTTTTCGTGACGAACCAAGCAAATCCTCACCCAGGAAGCAGCAAGCAGCTCATGCAGAAGGCGTGCATTGACAAAATGAAGGTACGAGCTTCCGTCTCACGCCAGGACTATTCTCGGCGCGGCATTGATTTGGAGCCGTTTTTCATGGGTCGGCCTACGCACCCTTTCTCCATCAACACCTTTTATGCAGACATTCTGGGTGTGTACGACGATGGCCTCGTGGACGATGCTTTGCGTCCTTGGCGCCTTCGGCAGCTGCAAGACCAGAATGGCAGTAAGCAGCGGGTGTGGGACTCGACGACCAAATGGGCCGAACTGGAAGAGCAGATGGGCGGCCGCGAGATGCCCAAGCGCGTGGTGTTTGACTTGCTCTTCGATCTAGGGCCTCTGTCGAAGCTGGCAGCGGCCGACGACGCCAACCATCCGAAACCGGCGGGGCAATCGGCCTGGCGCATCCACGTGAAAGCCTACAGTCTCGTATCCGAGACAACACGCGAGCTGCCCGTGCGTGTGTCGTCGCATGGCAACGAAGACCCGAATGATCTGTATGAAGTTGTCAGCGTTCAGCAAATGCACCGCACCATGACGGGCGAGCTGGTAAAGCCCGAGGACATGGAACATGTCTTTATGCTATGTGAGAGCGACTCACCGGAAGCGCAGATCCGCTTCACCAACGAGGAAATTAAGGCACTGCGGCAGTTTGGGTGCTTACCGGGCCTATCGCTCCTTGGCTTTAAAGACCGTACCACCCTGCATTTTTACGAGAACATAAAGCACGCCTACTTCTTATACCCCTCCGATCTGGAGCATCCCGGGAGCAAGCGTGTGTTTTCCGCCCTTCTCACGTCCATGTTATCTAAGAACAAGATCGCCTTGTGCCTTTTTCTTCCGCGGGACAATGCCATCCCTCATTTCGCCGTGCTGCTGCCACAGGCCGAAGAACTGGACGCGGAGGGCCATCAACGTGATCCGCCTGGCATGCATCTTATCACCATGCCCTATGTCGACGATATTCGTGATCCCCCACGCACAGGGTCCCTCAGCGCGAACAGTGACGAAGTGGCTGCCGCTAGCAAAGTCATCGAAAGCTTTCACCGGCGCGATCCTTTCAACCCGGATGTGTTCCCCAATCCTGTGCTCCAGCACCACTATGGTACGCTCATGGCGCAGGCTTTTGGGCAGCCTATGCCTGCGTACCACGACACCATCGTACCGGATTATGCGCTGATTGAGCGGGTGCGTATAGGAGACTTACGCAACAGCGATCTGGCAACTCCCTTCGGGCATGGAACGAGGCTTTATTGGCCGATACACGCACCGCAGAGACGAGAAACAGCGCTTTTGACGCGTCTTTGGACGAGACACTGCGGCGCATGCACCGTGAACGTTTGCTGGATCGGGTACGTACAAGATGGCTAACGCGCAGCTAGTGGTACCTGAGCTGAAACAGGCGTGTGATCATTACGGTCTGCCGAAGCATGGACGCAAAGCCGATTTACTTTCTACCTTGGAGGCCTTTCTTTCGCAATCTACAAACGCAGGCCAGGGAATAGGCTCTTGAACGATGCCGGATCCAGCGAACTGGCAGGGTACGGGAGCCACGGGCCACGGAAATGCATATGGCCACCATCCACAGCCTGCAACGTTAGTTTTCCTGTTGTCACGTACAATCACTTGGCCGTTGATCCAGTTGGCAGCATCGCTGAAGAGGAACACACACGCATTCGCAATGTCAGCGCGCTGTCCAATGCGCTGCATGGGGACAAACCCATCGACCAGATCCTCACTGCCCTTGGGCACAAGACGCTCAGCGCCCTCTGTGCCAGCGATCAGACCCGGCGCCACGCAGTTGCTGCGCACGCCCAATGGGCCCCATTCCACCGCAATCACATTCGATAGTACATCAATTCCTGCCTTGGCAGCCGACGGCGCAGCCTGCCAGGGCAGTCCCGAGTAGTGCAGCGTCGCTGAGATGTGAACATACGAGCCATGCGCCTTTTTGATTTCCGCCGCAGTAGCCCGCACAGTGTTGTAGGTACCCAGCAGATCGATCTCGATCACGGTGCGGAAGGCATTGGGCGACAGTCCAACGAGGGGCGCCATAAAGTTGCCCGCGGCACCACAGATGACCATGTCGATCTTACCGAACTTGGCAACAGTTTGCTTGACGACCTCTTCCATCACATCAAATTTACGCACATCACCAGGCGTAGCGATCGCCTCAGATCCAGTGTCTTGCGACAGCTTGGCAGCAGCTTCACGCAGGCGGTCGGCCTTGCGACCCACGATAGCCGCCTTAGCGCCAAGCTTCATTAGCGTCTCTGTGATACCATAGCAGATACCTGAGCCACCACCAGTTACAAGCACGACCTTTCCCTTGAATAGATCAGGCTTAAACACGTCGGTAGCCGGCACAGCTTGGTGCTTAAAGCTCTCGCTCATGATGGGTCAGGAGGGCCGTGCGTGGACGCCGCTGGTGCTAGGCGCATCCTCCACAAGCGACCCCCTCGCTGCCGGTGCCTACCGGTGCCCTACCAGGGCCCTACCGAACCTCCACCTTTACACACGTGATCTGTAGTTTTACACGTGATGTGAAGGAAGGGACTCCCTCTCAACGCCCTCCTGCTCTCTCACCTACATTGGTCTCTATCGATATGGTACGTGGCATTGTGTGAGACATGCTAACTTTCTAGCCGTCGCAGAAGACGTTCCGCACCAAGGTTAAGCTGGCCAAGGCCGCGCGCCAGAACCGGTATGTGTCTTCACCTAACATGGTAGCTCCATCCCCAACTGGTTCCGCATGAAGACCGACAACAAGATTCAGTACAACAAGAACCGTCGCCACTGGCGCCGCACGAAGCTCTCGATCTAAGAGTTTTGTTGCTACTGTATCGTCATTCTTACTGTGCCCATGGCACCTATGCCCACTGCTAGGATGATGACGCATGGTATGGTTTCTAGCACACTTGCTTGAAATACAAAAATATTGCTGTTCAGCTAGGGTACAGGGATACGCAGCGGCGTGTGCAGCAGCGAGGCCAAGGCCGTGTAGTCGCTTTCGTTGTCCGCCGTAAGCCACCCATGTCGAATGAAAAAGTCCATGAGGACTGTGTGTGTCAGTGATTGTTACATACCGAGAGTGCAATTGGGCTTGAATGTCCCTTGGAGCATGCGCTCCATAATGGTCGCCCGGTCTAGCAGCTCAAATGATTCTGCCTCTCCATCCGACGGTGCCAACGTCACATCGGCCGGAAGGGGCAGGTCGTACACATACTGCATTTCCGGCTGCCGCCAGCCGCTCTCGGTTTTGTAGAAGTAGGTCAGCACGCCCGCCGCCTGGATGTGCGAGCGCACCAACGACGGCGAGAGGCCGGCCTCTTCCTCGCACTCGCGCACAACGGTGACCAGGGGCCCTTCGCCAGCGGTGATTCCCCCTGCCACGGAGTTGTCATAGTAGCCGGGCCATCTGCGATCATCAGTGCGTGTAACGTACGTTGGCTTGGTGCTCGACCGCTTGGGGATCCACACTC